AAGCCACACAACTGTTCTGGGGACAGGAGAGGGACCGAGGCGAACTCTAGTGCCATTACAAAGCAGTCCCCTGTGGTTCGATTCATTCTCATGAGAACACAGGGTGGGAATACACAAGGACCCTGGCTCCTGTGGGTGGAGGGGAAGGGATGTGGCAGAGGCTCTGAGTCACAGCAATACTGAAGTGGCAGAGGGCAGGGTGTGACCTGATGGTACCACATCTGGGCAGTCTTAGTCCCAGCTCCCCAGATGTTGGAGAAGAGCTCCAAGACAGGCACACTGTCACTGATGTGGTCTAGCTTCCGCAGATGCCCGCTTTCCAGGATCTCCTTGATCTTCTCAGCCATCCGCTTCCCAATTCCGGGGATGCTGCAGGCCTCCTAGGGAGGAAGTGGTAGAGAAGTTAGGAAGGGAGAGCGAGAGGAAGGAAATCTGGCTCCTCCAGCAGAATTTCTGCCCAGAAGCCAGCTCAGCAACCATATGGAGCTTGTCCTTTGGTTCCCAGAGACCAGCAAAAAGAAATAGAAAAAAAATGGCCAGGTGTGGTAGTGCATGCCTTCAATCCCAGAACTCCTGGAGGCAGAGGTGCAAGCAGGCAGACTTCCAGATCAGTCAGGACTCCACACAAAGACTCCGTTTCCAAAAGAAAAGAACAAAGCAGTACAGAAAATAACAAGGCCCATCGCCATCACCACTGCCACCACCCTCATCACAACTATAAGACACACTGACTGTGTTACTGTAACACACTGACTGGGCTACTGTAACACACGGGGGGCTACTGTAACACACTGACTGGGCTACTGTAACACACTGGGGGCTACTGTAACACACTGACTGGGCTACTGTAACACACTGACTGAGGGCTTACTTTATGCCATTCTGTGCTACTGAGACCATCTTTCAGCCTTATAAAAACACTGAATGGCTACCATTATTAATTCCTTTCAAGTGATTGGAAAACTGACAAACAGTAAGTAACTTGTCTATAGAGCCCACAATGAAATGGTTCTAGAGTCTAAGACATGTACCACCGAGCCTGGCCTTAAACTCCTTTTTTTTTTTTTTTTTTAATTTTTGTTTTTCCAGACAGGGTCTGTCTTGGAGCTCACTCTGTAGAACAGACTGGCCTCAAACCACAGAGATCCGCCTGCCCCTGCTACCCCCCTGCCCAGTGCTGGGATTAAAGATGTGCACAGGCACCGCAGGCTAAACTTCTTATTATATAAATACAATTGGAAATAGAAGAAACAGTGTAATAAACCCCTAAGCACCCATTTCCCAGTCCTAACAATTTTGCTGGTCTGTTTTCAACTACCATTTTTTTTATGTTATCAGTGTGTCTCAGTGTAAATCCCACCCATTATAAAATCTTAACCACTAAATTTGATGTCCATGGGTGCCTAGCACTGCCATTAACCACTAGTTCATAAAGGAGAGGCCCCTTCCCCAACCTCCAAGTACCTGGTAGGAGCTGACAGGCTTGTGGAAGCTCTTGAGGGCATTGATGGCCTTGGCATAGCCCAGGGCCCTCCACTTGTCTCCCTGGACGCTGTAGGCTTTGGCCAGTACTTCGAGCTTCTCTGTGATGTGCAGGTTGTAATTAGTGGCTTTCTGGCTCGAGGGCTGTGCACAGACCCACTTCTCCAGCGCTGCTGGGGCTGGGTCGGGCCCACCATCTTCTTCAGGGGGAGTGGGGTAGTGCCCACTGATCAAGGCTTCCAGATCTGCCGAGCTAACCTGGGGTCCTTCCTCATCACTGGTTTCGTCATCTGAGCTGAGCTGGAGAGAAAAGAAACTGTAAATCTGTGTCCTCCTCAAGAGTGAGGGTTGTGTTTGGTGGGCAGGTGTCTCCTACTTTGACTCAAGGATGAGTCTGCACCTAGGGTACTGGGCTTGTCTCTTCACCAGTGTAAGGCCATAGGGCATCCTTCAGAGCCCTGGGACTCCCAGTGGTGTATGGTGGGCATGGCTTGGTAAATGCAAAAGCAATGAATGCTGCCAGGAAGGGCGGAACAGCTGCATAATCAAGAGAAACATAGGTCTCTGGATAAGCACCAAGCCCTTCTATTTCTATGGGCAGGGCCCTGAGCTGGGAGCTTCTTACCTGGGTCGGGGTTCTTGGTGCCTTCTCTGTCTTTTTGGGAGAAGATGCAGCTCCGGTGTGAGGAGGGGGAGGAGAGAGGGCCGTCCTGGATGCAGCCTCCTGGGTACCAGGGGCAGAAGAGCCTTGGTCTGTCTTGCTGGGCTGTGGCTGGCTGGAGGAACTAGAGGGTAGGAGAGGTCACAGGCAGTTAGGGTATCAAAACTCTTACCTGCCTCGGTTCCCGACCTTTCGCTCCACTGAAACCTTGGTTTCCAAGTGTGTCCAATTGAAAACATAGGAGTTGTCTGGGAATAACTCAAGATGGTATCAACAAAAACTTGAGAAAGGCTAGGGGCAGCCCACCTCTTGGGGATGGAGAGACTGAATCCAGCCGTGTCCATCACCCTTCTCTCCTGCAGGCACAAGCTCAGCCAGGATGACTTCACCAGCTGAGCACTGGGGGGTAGTTGGGGGAGTCTGAGGAGCCGAAGAGCCCGCTCACAGTCCATGTTCTCATCCACCACGATGTGAGTGACTCCTGGGGCCTGGGCAGAGCATATCTGGCCACCGTGATGAAGAATTTGCTTCTCAAAGAGCTCAGCCCGGGCTCGTCCAATGCCAGTGGGCATAATGTGAGCCCTCAGGGAGCTCAGCCAATCTGTGGAGAGGATATCCAAATGCCTATTACCATAAATTTTATTATTTTTTTTTATTACTGCTATTATTATTATGACAGGGTCTCACATAGCCCAGGCTGGCCTCAAACTCATTACGTAGTGAATAACCCTGAACTCCTGATTCTCCTGCCTCTACTTCCGAGTGCTGGGATTACAGATGTGTGTATGTCACTGAGATGGGCAACTTAGACATAGTCACAGTGAACTGAAGTCACTTCTTTTCAAAGTAACCATTTTCCTGCCACCCAGAGAGCAAAAGGCCTTCAAAGAATTCTACCGCAAACACAGCCAACTTCTTCAAGGGGCGTCATCTGAATGCAGGGAGTTAGGATTTTGTGTCCTCTTTCTGGTACAAAAGAGAGTGGTGTCTGGCATGTCACAGGTCATCCGTGGAGCAGTGTCTGGCATGTCACAGGTCATCTAGAAGTATCTGTGACTGAAGCCTTCTTGCTCTGAACACAGTTCAAAAATCATTTGATCACCTGTTTTTTTGTTTTTGTTTTGTTTTTTTTTCAGCAAAGCACACATTTCTCACCATTACAAGTTCTTTGCCCTTGGTCTAGAGGACTTGACCAACATTCCCAACCCCTTAAAAATCTCTGCCAGCTACTTAACAATTCTGGTGGCAAAACAACGTAGAACAAGCCTGGGGACGCAGGGGTTCCTCTAGGACAACAAAGAATTCTAAGGGCCACTTCCTGAGGAGTCAGGGAACATTTCTCACTGGGGTCTTGGGATGCAGAAAAAGATAACACAGCAAATAGGCTTTCAAAGACAAGTACAGTTATAGTGGCAAATGCCTTTCATCCCAGCACTCGGGAGGCAGAGGCGGGCAGATCTCCAAGGTCAAGACAGCCTGGCCTACAGAGCAAGCTCCAGGACAACCAGAGCTACAGAGAGAAATCCTGCCTTGCAGAACAAACAAAGACAAAGTGTCAGCCGAGGTGGTGCTGCCACCTATAAACCCAGCACTTGGGAGGCTGAGACAGGGTCGGGAACTTAAGGTCATTCTCAGCTACAAGGCAAAGTCAAGGTTACAGTGAGACTCTAACCAAGAGACAAGGACTGAGACCAAAGCAAACACAAAGTAAGTATAAGGAGATCTCAGCCCCTATGCGGGTAAGGCTACTTCCACTGACTCTGGATGAAAACAGACGGCTGAGGGTTCAAGTGTGTGAGTTCTGAGGGTGGGCCAGCTCACCTCCAGCTTCTCCCTCCTCCCTTCTGGGAACCTTTGCCAGTGCTTTTGAGGTCGGATCTGCACGAATTTTCTTTCGCTTGGGAAATGCCTTCAAGATTCCCTGGGGGTCCATTGAAGTATGGCTGGATTCTTGCTTTTCTGTTAAGGGTAGATGTCATGCAGAAAACCAAGATTCAGGGCCGCCCCTAGACCATTTGGCAAAGAGAGGCAGGCTTTGAGAGCAAGAGACCCTTCTCAGAGGTCTCAGGAACCCCCATTAAATGCGCTCCACACACACCAGCCTTTCAGGGTTAAGAGTACTGAGGAAAGACAGGGAAAGGCTGGGAGTATGGAAGGCAGGGGTAGGAGTGACTTTTGACTAAAGGGAAACAACATTGGAGGGAGGGAGTGCTCTGCAGAGCCAGCGCAGAGTCGGCCTCTGCTTCCACTTCCGAGAGGCTTTTCCAAAATGATAGGAAAACAGGTCTAGGAAACAGGACTACATCTTTAGTAAAGTCTTCATCGTCCCCCCAAAAAAGTGGAGTCTGAGGGACACGTGCACACAAACCTCACGTCATCTTTCTCTAGCCTCAATGTGCGATTACAGAGAAAAACTTCACGGAAAGTTGCGGGCACGTCGTGCACCTGCCCCCATTGCAGTCTCATGGGGGGGGGGCGGGGGCTTGAGCTCCGTAGCTGCAGGGAAGTGGGGTGCAGCCGCAGCAGGTGTAAGGTGCCCTCACAGCTGGGGGTGGGCAAATCCGGAGCAGATGTGCCACATGCACTGGGTGTGCAGCTGGCGTGAATCGGGGACTCCCAGTTGGGGCCAGAAGAGAGCTGATGCCGGGACCCTAAAGCCCTAGGAACCTCCCCCACTCGACCCGGCCTCAAGGCCGGTCCACGCAAGGCCAGACTCTCCCACAAAGAGAAATAAACTCACCATGGGAGTCAAAGAAAACGGACAGGGTGTCGGGGAGGGGGGGGGATTTAAAAGTAAATTCCCAGAATACCTTCCGGGTCATCCGGAAGTGACCCTCGGCCCAGCAGTTGCCATGGAAGTGGCCGGGCGCGTTGCTGGGCGGAGGGAAGATGGCGGTGACTAGCTGGCTGGAGAGTCTGCGGGCGGCCGAGAAGACGGCGCTGCTGCAGGATGGTAACTCGAGCCTCTCGTGCTCTCCTCCAGGGCGGGCTCTCCGCGCCGGCTCCTCCTGGGAGGGCCTCAGCCTGGGTGGGCAGAGCTGGAATTGTCGCAACCATCAGCCAGCCACGCTAGCTTCCTGCATTTGCAGAGGAGGAAACAGAGGCCCAGAGAGATGGCTGGAGTAGAACCCAAGTCTCTGGTCACCCACCTCAAGTTTCCTTACACCATCCCGCCCCGCTCTAGTTTTGTTGGTAATTCTAAATAATTCATTTTACTCTCATCATCGTTCCTCAGGGCTGTACCAAGAGGCAAATTTTTACCGCCCCACCCTTTTTTTTTGACTGAAATCCAGGAAGGTTTTAGAGCCCCAGGTTTTGCAGATAGTCAGATATAACTATAACATGACCTGGGGCCCCATGCACCTCAGTTTGGGGGTCCTATTGAGGACGGCAGCCCAGTGGCATAGAATGGAGGGACACCGGGGGTTTTAGATCAACTCTGCTATTGATTCACTTATTAATTTGTTAGAACCGCATTTTCTCCAACTATAAAATGAAGTGGGTAGGCTGCCGCTGTTCTTCCAGCGGGCCTTTCCAGCTATGTTTTATTTAGAGTGGATTTCTAGAGGTTTTATGGTCTTTAGGAGAGAGTACAAGGGCCAAGGTCTAAATGACTAGAACAAGAGTTTGAAATATCAGCTTTTCCCCATCCTGCAATTGCTCAGTTTAAGTCCCCTCTACTTCAGAGGTCTTTCCTGAACCCACTTGGCAGTCAGAGTGAATTAGAGCTGAATTCCCTTTAAAGCTTAACAGCTGGGAACTTACCTCCACAGGTAGCTGCCAATCAAAGAAGCCTGAGGCTTCTGGAAATTAAAGTCAGGTTTCATTTGTTCCTAACTGCAGCTTTTGGGGACGCCTTTACTGTGTGCCAAATTATGTTCTAGAGCAGACAGAAAAACAAACAAACAAAAATTCCATGGCCTGTGGTCTCCTAGGAGTTCACAAAATGATCAAGAAGAAGACATGTAAGTAAATAGCAGCTTGTGTTAAACAGAGGTTGAGATAATAGCAAGAGATTGCAGCTCATGCCTGTCATCTGAGGGCGGGATGGGGGGCTAAGGCAGGAGACCTTAGCTTAGAGAGAGAGAGGAGGGTTGGGATAGTGTGTGAAATGCTAAGAAAGCATGAATTTGAAAATATTTTCTCTTTGGATAATCACCAAATTCCAGCCCCTAAAGGATGATTAGTAGGGCTGGAGAGATGGCTCAGAGGTTAAGAGCACTGGCCGCTCTTCCAGAGGTCCTGAGTTCAATTCCCAGCAACCACAGGGTGGCTCACAACCATCTGTAATGAGATCTGCTGCCCTTTTCTGGCATGCAGGCATACATGCAGGTAGAGCACTGTATACATAATAAATAAATAAATCTTCTTTTTTTTTTAAAAAAAAAAGAATGATTTGTAGGTGTTTGGTAAGCGGAGATGGAAGGGTGGCCTTGTGCCGAAGAATATAGCTCACATGCAGAGCAAGGAAGTGTGAGAGTGGATGACGGCTAAGTGTTACGGAAACAGTCGGCATTCAGCCATTCACACGCTGCCTGCTCTATCACGTGCCTGGATACAGAGTAACTAAGAGTCTCCTTCCTCAAGAGGCCATCGTGGGAGAAATGGTAGAAAATGAAGAGGCATAGAATTGGGATATGCTGTGATCGCACAGTGTGCAGATTTTGGACATTACTTCACGGGATAGTGGTCTTTTGTATTTTGAGACAGGATCTCACTATGTAGTCCTAGCTGACCCAGATGTGCTGTGTGGACTACACTGGTTTTAGGATAAAGGGCATGTACCACCATGCTTGATCTGTTTTTGTTTTTTGTTTTTTTTCATTGTGGTCAAAAAAAGGGAGGGTATAAATTTTATTGTCATAACTATTTTAGGTGCACAGTTAAGTCACATTAATTCCATTCACATTTTTTATAACTGTCACCACCATCCATCTCCAGAACCAACACTCAGCACCCATCAGAACGGAACCCCACACTATCCTTACCCCTGGCCTCTAGTGATCAGCATCTACTGTGGGTTTCAATTAATTTGACTAAGAGCCTTGCGTAAGTGGAATCAGATAGCATTTGATTTAATTAGTTCACATAGCAGAAGATCTTCAAGATTCAGCTATGTTGTCACATGTGCAGAATCTCCTTTATATATTTTGTGTGTGCTTGTGTGGAGGTCAGAAGTCAGCGTTGGGTGTCCTTCTTCACAATTGCCCACAATGGTTTGTGGGTTTATTTTGCTTCTTTCTTTCTTTCTTTCTTTCTTTCTTTCTTTCTTTCTTTCTTTCTTTCTTTCTTT